GCTTCAGTCATAAAAAGATTTTCTTACCTCTTTCAGTTTGCTTCCTCTGTACTACAATTCTGTGCATAGTTAAGCATAGTTAATTCTCACAGTTTCCAGCCTCACTATTTGAGTACCATTTTTACTTCATATTTACTTCCCTGAAATAAATCCAAAGAGGGTAAGAATATCCATACTGTTCCAGTTTTTGTCTGAGATAAAGTTATCTATAAGGGCTATCTTTCGAATTTGTGCTGGAAACAGTGTTGATGACACAGGGATGCTTTCATGACTGCTGAGCAGAGCTTAAGCAGTGTCAGGGTTTTTCTGCTCCTCACAGCACCCTACCAGTGAGTGGGCTGGGGATGAACAAGGAGCTGGGAGAGGACACAGCTGGGACAGCCATATTCCAGACCATATGGCATCATGCTCAGCATACAGAGGTGGGAGAAGAAGAAGGAAGTGTTCCTCACCCACAGCTACCATTCTTTCAGGAGCAAACCTGCTCCAACATAGCCTTACCCATGGCTGCATACTCCCTCATGGGGCATACCTACTCTCCCTGGCTACGCACACTGAGGTGCTCCAGCATGACCTCATGCATGCTTCAAGGTGTTCTTGCAGCAGCATGGATTAATCCCTGGGCCACAGTCCTCTCAGAGGTGTACCTGCAGTGGTACACACATAACCAAAGCCACAGATACTTCATGCTGTGGCACAGGCATATCCATGGCTGTAGATGCTTTGGGGTACCCTGCTCCCTCCTGTGTGTACCTACTCACAGGTCATGGTGTCTCTCAGTTGATTTTGCAGTGGAGTTCCAGCCTGCCCAGTACAGTAGCACAGAATGAGCAGTGATGCCCTGGCCATCTGCCAGCCCACAGGCATCACCACCGCTGTTATCAGAATCCCAGGCCCAGCAGAATAACATGATCAGCAGCACAGCCCGATGGCAAGCAGTGAAAGCAAAAAGCAGTCACTAACAAGCACTAGACTCTAATATATAGCCAGGCAAGTCAGCCCCATGGCAAGCACAGGAGCCTGTTGATTAATAGCTAAGTAGTATAACTGCTATAAATTCAATCTAGCATTTTTCAATCAAACATTATCTTGCACCTTTTAATACTCATGATGGAATACTCATAACATAAAAGGACTGTTGTGGTTTAACCCCAGCCACCAACTAGGCCCCACACAGCTACTGGCTTACTTCTCTACATCAGGATAGGGGACAGAATCAGAATGATAAAAGTGAGAAAACTCGTGGGTTTGCAATAGCAATGATTTAAACAATAAAGCAGAAGCTGCACATGCAAGCAAAGCAAAACAATGAATTCAGTTGTCACCTCCCATGGGTAGGAAATAGCTCATCCATCCCCAAGAAAGCAGGCTTCCATCATATGTGGTGGTGACTGGGGAAAGCAAAGACAATCACCAAGACATTTCTTGTTTGTTCACTCCACCAGCTCTGTATGCTAAGCATGACACCACATGATCTGGGATATCTTTTGGGTCAATGGGATTCAGCTGGCTGGATATTTTACCTTCCAGCTCCTTGTGCACCCTCAGCCTTCTTGCCCGTGGGGTGGGGTGAGGAACAGTAAAGGCCTTGATGTTGTGTAGTAAAACCAGTAATAAAGCATCCTTGACTTATCAACACTGTTTCCACCACAAATCCAAAATATAACCCCATAGTGATTGTTACAAAGAAAATTAACTCTATCTCAGCTGAAACCAGAACTAGTGTTTTAATTTAACTCTATATTGACATCTTTTCTATCCTGTTTTACTTGTTAAAAATGACAAAGTGTGAAATAATTTTGATATTTCAAATGTCACCTGTTCCCAACTGCAATTAGCATTTAAAAGCTTAACATCCATTTTCATTCAAATATACCGCCTTTGTAGTCATGGTAACCTCCTCATCAGCTTTAGAAGGTACTGCTGGGGTACTTAGAGATGTTGTTATTTAGGATTTTTCTTTTGACTCCCTCCTCCTTCCCTCTCGATTACAAAAAGACACTCTGTGCTTGCTTTTACCAAGTTTAAGGTTTACAACAGCAAGAAAATAGACAAAACAAATATACTGTTAGAAAAGAAAAAAAGAAAAGAAAAGAAAAGAAAAGAAAAGAAAAGAAAAGAAAAGAAAAGAAAAGAAAAGAAAAGAAAAGAAAAGAAAAGAAAAGAAAAGAAAAGAAAAGAAAAGAAAAGAAAAAGGTTTTACTTCTTGCATCTTCCTGGAAATATGAATTGGTGAAGAAGAGTGGCTTCTGAATTCAGCTCACATGATACAGTTAACTACAGATAAGGTATTAAAAAGTATATATTCAGCATAAATAAAAATAAAAATAAAAACCTAGTTATACTTACAAATGTGTAAGAGTACAATCCAAATAGCTAGCAGAGGTGCCTTCTCTCCTCCCTTTAAAGGAGAAACATTGAACACCTGTGAGGCAAGTATTGTTTCACTCAAATGATTTAGTTACTCTGTATTTAACCAGGATACAGTCCGGTGTTTAATTTTATGAGGAAAAAAAAAAAAAAGGAAATTCTTTTATTGTTATTATCCTTCTTCTACTAATGTAACTGTGCTTATTTAATACTCTCTGATTAGTAGGCAGTGTTTATATGAGGATGGGTCAGCTGATTCAAAATGCTTAAGTCATTGGTAGAGATACCCATCTGTGAGTCACATAATTTTTGTTACAGATATTATTGTCCCTGGCTTGGAACACATTTTTATTGTTGGGAGAAAAATCTTTGCATCTACAGAGAATAGATGGATATTAGAATTCAGATACATACACTTTCAGATAGTAGATAATATCATTACAGGGAATATAATCACATAATTATAGGGGATTTTCTACATATTCTCCCTGTGGTTATTTGTAAAAGTCACCTACTTCCAATTTTAATTCATAAATTGATAAAATTGGGATACTGCACATATCTCAGCCTACCTCTGGGCCATCTGTGAATCTGTAAAACCATTTTTGATATTTTTTCAAGTGGCCACTTTTCATAGACTGCAAACTAACAATTCAGCAGTCACAAGAAATTTTATAAGCATACCTACTCTTAATTCCTGTCACACTGTATAGCAGTCACAGGTTGAATGTTTGAGATGTAGCTACTTCATTTAGGTCTTGCATACGTGGATACAGAAGTAAATCCACATTTCAGCTAATTCTCATCTATGTGGGGTCTCTAGAAGTGTTATAAGCAATCTCCACGTGTTTCCTTGCATCATCCTGAGACTGAACAAAGGCAAATTGTGATAATGCACAGGCATCCTCCATCAGCTGTCAGCCACTAACCTCCCAATATTAAACATGAAATAAATGTACACCACACAAGCAGACTCTGGCCTTAAAGCACACTTTGTGTGTGTGATTCAGCTGTGGCTCTCACTGGAAACCACTGAAATTTTGGAAATATCTTTGTAACCTTTTACATCTCTTTTGTGGTCACACAGTTTCTAAGATGCCTGCTGTACTTTGGTGTATCTCATTTGGGCATCTCCTAAGTCTTTAGAACTTATGAGTTTCCCATTAATGCCAAAGGCAAACCAAACAGCCCAGGTCCTACAAAATGCCAGTGTGGAAAGAGAAACAGACTGTGCATGCCAGGCTTACCCTAACAGTCCTTATTTTTCATGTGATTGCCTAATAATTCTTATAATATCTCTGTATTATCACTTAATATAAACTCTTACATTTTTGTATTCTTTGTGAAGCACGAATTAACAGTTATTTTCTGTTTGCCAGAGGATGAAATCAGAGTTCAAAATGAAGAAAGTAGAAACTGTAAGAGGTTGTTGTTTACCCCAAAAAGACTAAGAGTTCACCTCTTATAGTAGGACTTTTCAGAATGTGCAAAGCATGTCACTGCAAGCAGAGAAGTGTTAATGAGCTGTTTACCATACTTTTCCCAGATCTCCACAGCTGTTCTTACCCAACAGACTCGAGTATCCTGGGCGCTGCATTTTTCAGGGTCTTCCACATGAAGTTCTTAAACTGCCCTGAACCAATCAGGGTCTTCGTGGGGTGTTGGCCCGCCTACACTGGATTACTTTGGTTTATCCATGGATTACCAAGGAAGTTTTTTAACAATGGCATAGAGGAGGAATGTAACTAGTATTTCAAAAGAGTGTCAACTGTGTACTCTAATAGATCTCCAGCATATGTTGCAGAAAATTACCTACGGCAGAGCTGCATTGTGACTGTTTCAATGTTTTGTGAATTTTGAAGCATTTACTTAATGAAGCACAGTTTATTGTGGAAATACTGACGTTGAAAACAGAAGATCAAAATAGAAGGGGACAGCTCTGGCTAAGGAATTCTCCTGTTTCTCGTGTTTTTTAAAGTGCATCTTTATTGTTCTCTTTGGCAACTTTGAAATGCAGTTTGAAGAAATTTCTGTTCAGCAGTAAATTAATCATGACAAATAATTTTGTCATGGATATGTTGTCTTCCTTAAATCAAAACCAAAATGAAACGTCCTTATCTTTCATTTCCTGATTTCCCTTCATTTGACATAAAGGACATTTTGATCAGAAGGCCTCACCTTTTAAAAACAGCCCTGCTCTTCGAGGCATATTACCTTTAATAGAAGCGCTGAATTTTATCTCGCTTAAAACCGCGCCAGCTAGCCCAGGATGAAGAGGGGAAAGGAACAAAAAATAAATTCCCTGGCCCCCTTGCCTGGCCGGCGACCCGAGTCCCGCGGGAGCGCGGCGGGCGGGGCGGGGCGCCGCTGCCCCGCCTGCGCGGGGCGGGTCCGCCGCCGCCGCCCGCCGCAGTCGGTGCCGGCGGGGCTGTGCGCGGCCCGCCCGTCCCCGCCCGTCCCCGCCCGTCCCGTCCGCTCCTCCCGTGGCCCTGCCGAGCGGCCGCGGGCCGGCGCGCAGCGCAGCGCAGCGCAGCTCCGGGTGAGCGCCGGCGGAGCCGCGGGCGGGGGTTGGGCTGCGGCGGTGCGGGGACTCCCATCCGCAAATCCCGCCTCCATGGGCGGTACCGGCTGCCGAGGCGCGACCGCTGCCCCGAGCCCCGCTCGGTGCCTCCGCGGCTCTCTGCTCTCGCGGCTGGACCCGCTCCCCTTCCGGAGGTGCAAAAAGTTTGTGCGGCGTGGAGCGGAGCGCGGCGGAGCGGTGCGAACTTGGGCTGAGTTAGGCGAGGCTCTGCGGCATCTCCGTGGGGGACGGGGAAGAAGGCGGGGCGGCGGGGGGCTGCGCTGCGCTCCGGCGGGGTCTGGGGTCCGCCGTGTCGGGAGCGGTCTGGCTGAGCTCGGCCGTGCGAGTGCCGGGGCAGGGGACAGACCGAGCGCTTCTCCTGTATCCCGTTCGCGTAATGGTCAAGGGAGCGCCGACACCGGCCCGTCGCCGCCGGCTGTGCGCGGCAGCGGTGGTGGTGCCGTTCCGGTATCTTTCCTGCTAAATGTTTTTGTGGCAGTCCGTCGAGTGTTAACTCTTGGGTGGAAAATATATATCTCTGCTGTGCTACTGCATCTCGCGGATGAAGTATGTCTCTATGACATCTTAGTGTGGAAACTGTTTGAAAAAATCAGGAGAAACTGAGAATGACTTAATAACTTCTAGGTAGATAACGGCATATAGTAGCTGTAATCCTGTATTTGAGAATGCAAAATCAGTTGTTCTGCTGATTGATAGAATGTTCAGAATTCAGCTACTGCTACAAATGACTCGAATAAGAGATGTAACAAAGTATTTTGGGGCATTAATTCTAAAGACTCAGTTTTATTGAAACGGTAGCTTATATTTTGTTTCATATAAAATACAACTAACTGTGAAAGACATATATGTAGCTAACTTGTACATTACAAATGTTCTTCAAACTCCTTAACCCAAACACCTGTTATTATCTACAGATTTTTTTTTTCTTGCATTAGAAGTGCTGTTAGTCAAGAACGCTCATCTCTGGCATACATGAATAGTCATTCTTGCATAATCTCTTACCATTTCATTTGTTTCAGGATCAAATCTTGTGTAAATTTAAATAATTTTCTTAAATGTTAGTAAGAGATGCACTTTTAATAGGTATTCTTAGTAGCATCCTACATTTATTTCTGAATGCATGGCATAAGTGAAAACAAAATGAGAGAGACTGGAAATTTTCTCTTGACTTATCCAAGACACTGTCCTACCTCTGATCAGAAGGAAACCAAGTTCTCTCTGTAAAGCTGAGTCGATTTTACAGAGGAGCTAAAGAAACTCCAATTTCAGTCCTGTTCCAGCATCAGTGTTCTACTTGCACATCAATGTCTGTTGCTCTATGCACATGTCACATTTCAATTAATGCTGCCTCAGCTGTCTAAAGGTCTGATGAGATGCTTGTTAGCGCTTTGATTGCTTTTCCTGGCACTATTGTCCCTGCATTTGGGATTTGGATGTTACATGTTCATAGCGGAAAGTAATTACAGCAGGTAATAATCTTTGGTGTATCCATTAAAATAATAGTTTCTTCATTTTTGTACAACATCTGGGGACAGTTTTTACCTTCCACTAGGATTTTTTTTGTCAGCAACTGAGGAGAGCAGAGAGGCATATGAGAGGCGTAAAATGAGTATTGGTGAATTGTTATCCACAGGGTTACTGCTTAAACAAACATATAATTGCTGTGTCTGGTGGGATGTGACAGAGGTTTATCTTATATATTCTGCTTCAAATTTTAAATGTAACCCAGTCTGTAACATGCTATCATAAGTTTCTAATCACTTCCTGTTTCACTAATATCAATGTTTGTCCTTTTAAGACGAATGAAGAAAATACGTCCTGTGAAGAGTAAAAGTACTTGATTCTGGGAAGACTCTTACAGCACTTCTAACTTCAAAGCTGGAGAAAAGTATGCAGGAACAGTCCATCTGACTCCCTCAGCATCTCACACAGAAGACAAAATGGCTCTTCAGAAAAAAACTGTTGTTGGTGTCTTGGAGGAGTGGTGTTTGGCGGAACCACTGTTCAGTTGCAGGTGGCACCAGAATGTCAGGAAAAAACTGAGACTGATACGAATTGTAGGGCTCCTTGTCAGTGTAGTGGCCATTAGTACTTTCTCACTTTCAATGAGTGCCTTTTTCAAGATGGAACCACATAGCATGGCGCTGGTCAGCAGCCTAGATAGCCAAAAGCTGGTGCATGGGCACCAAAGAACTCTCTTGGATTTCACAGAACAGAATGAAAACGGCACTCCAGATCCACATGCTTCTATGAAATATGAAGCTGGACACAACAATGAAACAGATGATCATGCAAAGGGAGAGTACCCTGAGGACCTTTTCTCTCTTGAAGAGAGAAGACAGGGAGCAGTGATCCTCCATATAATTGGAATGATTTACATGTTTATAGCCTTAGCCATAGTCTGTGATGAGTTCTTTGTTCCTTCCTTGACTGTCATCACTGAAAAACTGGCCATTTCTGATGATGTGGCAGGGGCAACCTTCATGGCTGCTGGTGGGTCAGCCCCAGAACTCTTCACTTCTTTGATAGGAGTGTTTATATCCCACAGCAACGTTGGCATTGGTACAATAGTGGGATCTGCTGTGTTCAATATCCTATTTGTTATTGGAATGTGTGCTTTATTTTCTAAAGAGATCTTGAACCTTACTTGGTGGCCACTCTTTCGAGATATGTCCTTTTACATCATTGACTTGATCTTGCTAATCATCTTTTTTCTGGATAACTTCATAATGTGGTGGGAAAGCATAACACTCCTGACAGCATATTTTTTCTATGTGACATTTATGAAGTTCAATGTCCAAGTAGAAGAATTGGTGAAGAAATTTTTAAACAGGAACAAGGTTGAGAAGGTAACAACAGATGCTGAAGGAAAGGTTGGTCAATTTTTAGTTGCACTATATATACTGTTGTCCTTATAAGTGCTAAATCCTTCTATAGCATAAGGGTTGTAATACAGTACAGTAGTCAATACAGAAAAGTTTTGCACAAATGTCTTTTTGTTTAATCAAACTTATATTATTGAAAATAAAAAAACAAGTAGCCTTCCAGTAAATCAATAGCTTTTAACTCCAGAATTATCCTGATCACATAGGAAGCAAGAAATAAAATGCCAGCAAAAGGACGTAAACCTTTACTCAGCATTTTGGCACATTGATGAGGTCTGAGCTATTTTTTCCCTAAGCTTTTGGATTAAGCAGTGACAATATCTGGGGAGGATCCTGTGACAAAATTTGGCTTTCTAAAAACTTTCAATGCACTTTCATCCTTAGAGAAGGCACAAATAATTAAGAATAGTATACAAAAGTATTTTTATACGTGTTTTTCATCTACTGATGCTGATAATACAACATTAACTTCCTGTTGTAATCAGTGACAATTACATGGAAAAAACAGATGAAAGGCGTGATCACAATGGCAAAACTCATAGGTTCTTTGTTTAAGGAGGATGGTTTCCCATATGCTATTGGCAACTATGCAAACTAAGTTTTGTCCACAAGTAGATAATGAAATTTGTGCATAGAGGGTTTGTTGAGTCTTTAGCAATTACAATAATCTTTTAAACTGCTTTCTTCTTAAATCAAGCAATATTTAAGGGAGCAATGAAGCTGAGCTGGTTAATACTTATGCATGTAGCAATATGTTGGTTGGAATGTTTGGTTTTATATAACTTTGAGTATATTCATCAGATAAGGTTTTATTATGCAGTAATTATTCAAACTAACAGGGACGTAGCTGCTCACTGTTCTGTTTCTTTTGTTTAGCAGTCATATATGAAGTGGTTCAGAAGAGGCAGAATCCACCAATATAAGTGCACAGGCACATAAACAGGAGGAGAGAGACACACCAAAGCTGGATATTTCAAAAGTTGTGACAGACACATTCGGTTTTAGAGCAAGCCACAAACCACCAAAATTAAAACCCAAAAAAGTCTAATTTTTTTGCTTGTATTCTCTTACTAGGTTTAACAGCTGTACACTTACTTGTAACTTTATCTTTTCCTTTTGTTTTTTTTTTTTTTTTTTCCCCAAATCAGCATGTTCATCTTCATCTTTCTCAAAATGCATTATTGGGATTTTATAAGTAAATGAAAAGAAGGGTCAACACCAACAAAATACTTACAGTAATTAGCAAGGGGTTTCTTTAACTACATTAGTGGGTTTCTAAATAATCTTAGAGTTCATAGTGCACTGTAAATCCTTTGAGAGGTAGTGCTAAAAATGTGTGATGATAGAAAGACTATAGTGTAGAAAGCAAACTTCATCTGTCCAAAACTGGACAGAAAATATAAACCTGTAATGGGTCTGAAGCAATTTTCAATATGGAAAGCAACTGCCTTATGTTGTCCAGGCTACAAGGTAAGGGAGAGTACCTGTATATCAAAGTGTTTAATTATTTTCTGCTGAATAGAAGAAAAAATAATTTGTGAGCCATATTGAACATTATTTATATTTGAAGTACTCTAGATGGACTAGATTTTACAAGGATACCTTTAGAACCGCTCATTTATTGTTTAACATTTTAATTACTTAGAGTTTATTTATAATACAGGTACACAGAAAAAAAAATTAAAAATTGGCTACTTTTCCTAAAACCACAAGCTTTGCATGATATGTTTCATGAAAACATTTTTCCTGAATTAAATTTAATTAAAATTATAAAATAATGCATTCATGAATCATTGAGGGGTGAAGGAAGATGAAAGATGTTCTAATTTGGTTGCAATTTAGCAAATACATATTTTCTGCTTCCTGGGAAAAATAGTTTCTCAAGGTGTCAGACCATGTTTTTACTCTGTGAGCCATGCTGTAAAGACGTATTTTTGAATATTCCGCTTACGCTTTGAAATTATATCATTATGAATTATTTTATTCTTCAGTTGAACAGCATTAAGCAGGATGAATGAAATTATTTTCTTATAGCAAGGATGTCACAGATTATGTTTGTTGGATAAAAGCTCAGTTAAGTTCTCTCTTAATTTATTTGCTATTATTAGATTGCTCTTTAAATTACAAAATTGCTAAAAACCCCAAAAGCCATTACATGTAGTCCTAAGCATGATAGAGATGCTTAGTACTTTCACCTTGAAGTTATTGTCTAAAGCAAAGAATAAAGTGCTTTTATAGTCTGAGGTCTGATGCCTTGTAGTGAATTCAATGCACATGGATGTTTATTTCCTAAACAATGAGGTTTATAATTATCACAGAAGTGATTATCTTGGCTTTTGGTGGCAATAAATATTTCATTCCTACAGTATCAACTGTTAGCCTAAATTGCTTCCACTCACCAACAGTGTATATGTACAATTGTATGTATTGAGTTAGTATACTGAACACAGAATTTGCAATCTCAGTTGTTTCTGATGGAAAGATTTTCACTTTCTTTTCCTCCATTGAGCGAGAGAATTTCTAGGCAGCTATCTGGAACTGGGTGTGTTAAAGTCTCTTGAAATATTTTAATTTCAGGAGAGTAGAGAAAATTCTTTCCTCTAAGCAAAACTCCCTCTACCTATCTGTTGTTGATTCTGCTGCTGCCAAACTGGCAAGTATTCTGCTAAAAAAACATGTGTGTCGTATTTCCCTTTAAGGCTGTTGTAATCTGAAAGCAGCTTAACAAATTTGCAAAGTCTAAATAAGGCATCATAAATCTGGATAGTGAAGGGTTAGGTGGCTTATTAGCAAACAAGTACAAAAGAGTAAAAAACTGCTCAGATGAGAAACCTCTTGAAATACTAAAATGTATTTTAATATTAATTTCAGTGCTTTTATTCTCAGTTGTCTTGAGAAGATGTTGAAGAAAGGTTTCTTTTGGGGTTTTTTTTTTGTCCTTTTGTCTCAGGGAGATTATTTCCTGTGAGGAAAGGCTTTAGATATGAACTGATTTTTTTGTCTAGCTTTCATTTGCTCTAGTTGTATTCATCAGGTTGCTGGAATGCATGTATATCTCTGTTGATGCCTTTTAGATTCCTATCCTCATTCTTAAAAATTAAAGCACATCTTTTTGTACTAGAAGACTGTGACTATTTGAACTTCTGATCTTACTTTCTTTAGTGTGTTGGTTGCTTGTATAAATGTAAATGCAGAAAGAGTACTCTATATGAATTTCATCGTACTCACTATTTTCTTTCACATGCTTTCAAACATATCCAGTCTGGATAATTAAAGTGTCAGGTTGAGAAAATCTGGTAGCTTTAATTTTCAGAACAATTTTGTGTCACTGATGAGAACAGACTACAAATCTTTTTGCATTTAGAGTTCATAGAGTTCACTGGCAGGGCTCTGTTTGAACTGTGGAAAGTTCTGTGCCTCATGCCGCCCCTAGGAAGCCTGGTGACAGTCTGATACTGATGAACTCCAGAGATCACTGTGAAAAGGATGAAAAAAGGAGGATAGATGAAAAAGCAAGACAGCATGAAAAGACAAGATAAGAACCAGATGGCTGAGTTCTACAGTGTAGGATGGCATATGGAATATGCAGATCAAGATGGGTCCCTAAGGAGTGACACTGAACGGGCCCTGCAGTAGTAAGTGCCATCCCACCACTGGATATCCCCAGAAGTCCCTTCCAGCTTAACTTATTCTGTGGTATGATTTTTAGGTTTTATGTAGCTGTCCTGCAAAGAACAGATAAGTAAGGACTGAGGTAGAGACTTTGGTATTAATCTGGTATCCTCCTTAGCTGAACAAAGATATTTAAAAACATAAGCTTGAAATTGATTATAATAGAGAGGAAGAGGAAAATAGAAAAATCTGATGGACAAATGTCTTAAAAATAAGACTTTCTTTAACTTGCTGCTAAGATTTCAGTCTATTCTTCATCATCTGTTTTGGTGAAAATATGTTGAATGTATTGAGTCACGTTAAAACATCATGTGGAACTACATTTCAGTTTTAAATACTTTTTTTCATTGCAGAAATGCTTGAATCTGATTGTTCAGTAAATAATTCAAAACAGTTCTGTTTGGCAACTAGGAGAACAGAATGTGGGTGGTGCAGGGATATTGTGCAATGACATCTGTTTCACTGACAGTGCCATTTTAGATAAATAGCTTATGGTATGTACAAGACAGTTGCAGTTTTTCTACTTACAGAGAACTGCATTTGGAAAATGAGTTATTTTTACCAACACAGCGTAACTATTATTTTATTGCCAATTTTGTTGTCTTAAGAAACTTGGATAGCTTGTGTGTGATATTTTAAGACCACATTGATCTCAAGTGTTGCCACAGTGCACTTCATGGCAGTATTTGCATTCTAAAGGAAAGTAACAGTATTTTAGGTACTTCTCTGCTTGTTGGTTGTATTAGCGTTGCACATGCACATTCATTGTTACAATGTCTGATCTAATATGTATTCAAGGTAAAACACCAATTACCTGCATGCATACAAGAAAAACAGAAACTTCCTTTTTCAGAACTTCTTCATTTTGAATCCACACACCCAGTACCTATAACACTATCCACAGAATAACCTTCCTTTTCTCACTACCAAGAAAATATTTTTTTAATGTTTTCATAGTTCATAGTGTTTCACTGTTTTAGAAGGATTTGACTTTTATTCTAGAGACTTTTCTCAGTTATGTACTTGTGCAAGCATCTGTGTGAATATGAATACAGAGCTATGAGTGTCTGGATCTCGCAAGATAGCTGCATTGTTTTAAGGACATATTTGAAACATAAGCCTCAGCACTGACATAGAACCATCTCTTGTTTAGATAAATGTCTGACTTTGTGTCATGTTTTATCTGCTTTTATTCTCTCAGAAAATTTTCAATCTACTTCTGTTTTAATTTAATGTTACTCCATTAGCAGTAACTATGAGTTAATATGCCTTGAGTTTTTAGCGTTGTTCTTTCAATTTAGGACTATTAACTGACA